CCACGATGTCCTTAGTGATCATAGCTCTCATGAGGCCCTTAGGAAATGTAGATTCTCAGCATTTCTTGCGATCTGTCCAAAAATACGTGACAGAATCAAAATAACTCAAGGTTGGCAACTGCATCCACAGTGGGGATATGTTTCCCAGTTGCTCCCCAATGTTCTGGTGCTGTTCTCAGAAGCTGAGTGTGTAAAGCTGCCTGAGAAAAACTTTCTTGAACAATTCTACGTGCTGTCTTTTCCCAACCTATTCCATTTTTTGAAGTTGCCTTTCATACAGAATCACAGAACGGCCAGGGTTGGAAGGGACCTCAAGGATCATGAATCTCCAACCCCCCTGCCACATGCAGGGCCACCAACCTCCCCATTTAATACTAGACCAGGCTGCCCAGGGCCCCATCCAATCTGGCCTTGAACACCTCCAGGGACGGGGCATCCACAGCCTCTCTGGGCAGCCTGTTCCAGTACCTCACCTCTCTCTCTCTGTAAAGAACTTCCCCTGACATCCAACCTAAATCTTCCCTCCCTCTACTTCAAACAATTTCCCCTTGTCCTGCTCTTATCTACTCTTTCAAAGAGTTGGTAGAACTAGAGGGAACACCAGAGGAGAAAAATAAAGACTTTTCCACTCTGGGAGATAACTGTTGAAAAAGAAAGAACAAGGAAAAAGATTACATTGTAATAATGAGTGGTGAAGCATGTCCTGGAGATGTGGAAGAGAGATGCTGAAGGTGTCCTGTGCAGTCCTCCTCCAACCACTCAGCACTCTGCCTACTGGGATGCTAAGGCAAAGCTTTCTTCCTGATTTTATGTAAAAAATCAAAAGTGTCTCCCCATTAAACTTCTGTCAAAACTGGCCTATTCTTCAAAAAAAAAAACAAAAAAACTGTAAATCTTCTTTCTACAGAATATATGTATTTAAGAACATCATAAGGATGGTTTTCTAGGTGACCTACAAAGGGAAATGGCCCATGTGTGTATGTCCCTTCATTCCTCCAGCCAGTGAAACCAGTTACATAAGCAGAGCAGTAGGCAAATGACTGAATTATCACAGATTAGCAAGTTATTGCCATTAAATTAATTAAAATTACTATGTTTTATGTTATATTGAAATGTGCAACATGGCTGTTGTTGCTGTTTCATGGCATGCAAGTATCTTCATTTCAAGCTAATGTGTAGCAATTTGCTAAGCCACAATAGCTTCAGTTCTTGTAGTCATCTTGTCGCCATCCTCTTCTTGAGGAAAAAAACTGTAATATCTGATGCTGTTTCAGACAGTGACAGGTGACTGCTTCAGTGACATAAATAAAATCTGAATGCCCTTGGTGCTTGACTCAGAGCAAACCAAAACATTCTTATGAAATGAAGCAGACCATATATTTTAAAGTTCACAGTCATCAGAAACATTGAAGATGTTTAGAAGAACAAACGGGTGATTTTCTTTCCTGGGGTTGAATGCTCCTTATGTTTCCTTTCATTCATGCCCAGGGCCAGTTCAATGGAGATGCAAATGTCAAGACCACCACAGAGACTGTCCTTGAGGGTCTCATATCCCTTCAAGACTGAGCAGTTTTACTATAGTCCTAACCATCTACTGCAGCCATCAAGCAGGCTTCTCACTGCTTCAGCTGATTGCTCAGGTGGCACTGAAGTCTTTTGTGATACAATCCAAAGCAGTAGGGACCTCCTAGGATGCAGTCTCGACCATTATGTAGGGTTTTTTGAGTGTTTTTCTCTCAGGTTTTATTCATGTACCATCTGTTTGCTGCATGTTTTTTGTTAGGGGTCTCTAATCACCCCATGTCACCTGCCTTCCCCTCTGCCTTTCTGAGCCTTTTGCCCACCTGTATCAGTGAAAGGGCTGTAAGGAACTGTTGGGGACCAGCCCCATTCAAAGAGATGAGCACTTTGATTTCCAGGCTGCTCTTCCCTCGTGCCTCTGTCCTCCCCACTGAATAAACCCAAATATCCCACCATCTACCTCTATAACTGCTTGTTTTTCCTGGCAAAGTGACTGTGGCCCTCATGTGCTTTCTGTCCATGTGGTAAATCTCAATGCTGTAGAAGGAGAGAGATACAATCAAGAAATTATTTCAGCTCCAAAGTTGCCCTAAAATTGTTTTTGATTAGTAAACAGGACAGAGGGTGGTGAGACACTGGAACAGGTTGCCCAGTGAGGTTGTGAATGCCCCCTCCCTGGAAACATTCAAGACCAGACTGGATGGGGCTGTGAGCAACCTGGTCTAGAGGGAGGTGCCCCAGCCCATAGCAGGGGGGTTGGAAATAGTTGATTTTAAAGATCCCTTCCAATCCAAATCACTCTATGATTCTATGATTTCATAGAATCATTAATGTTGGGAAAGACCTCCAAGATCATCTAGTCCAACCGTTGACCCATCACCACCACTTTCACAGAGCCATGTCCCTCAGCTACTCTCTTCTTGAACACCTCCAGTGATGGTGACTCCATCACTTCCCTGGGCAGCCTGTTCCAGTTGGGTCTTGGTATTTATTTTACAGTGTAGAAACTGTGCAAAAGTAGGGAGACAGCAAGACAATCCTTCCTCAGGTACGTGCATGGCACCTCACATGTATGGGGATTATCTGTTGAGTTTGGTGGGGATCCTCACCAGATTGTTTCTTAAGTATGGAAAGAAAGAAAAAAAAAGATGCGAGTGAACACTGCTGTGAGAGGGACCACACCAGAGAACATAGCACATGTGTCATTTTAGCAGTCTCTTTATTAACAAATAAGTTGGTCATCTTGACTCTACTTGGTGTCTGGGCTTTGCTATAGGGCAGCTCTCTGATGAAGTTCTTTAAGGCTGAAGGAATTAAGGACACTGGCTTGTGCCCAGGATTGAAACAAAGATTGCTGTGGGGCTCAAACCTGTTTTTAACAAGTGAACATAGCCTGCCAGATCTGGTGAGAGATTAGCAATTTAATTATACAGACCTTGGCTTCCTGCTTTCCACTAAGTGCCTAAAACCCCTCTAAAGAGGCACATTATGTTGCCTTTTTTTTTTTTTCTTTTTTTTTTTTCACTTTTACATTAACTAGACATTTCAGAGCTGCATAAACACAGGGGTTCCTTTGCAGAGGTCTTGGGGTTTTATAACTAAGTGCCTCCTGATGGATCTGTCAGGGTTACCCTGGAGAGCAAAACCTGTCACCCTGGAGCGAGCATTAGCTATATTTCCAGAGGCACTCCCTGCAAGTGCTTTCCATTTGTCCCCTGTTGAACTCATCAAAGAGCATTCAGGCTCCTTGGGTGGTTAGAGGACAGTTAGAGAGCAAGGCAGAACTGGGACAGAAAGCTTTGGCTGGAGCCTTTGGGCTGAGTGCTGCTTCACATGGGAAAGAGGGGAGAAGAGACAATAATCTGCAGAGAAATGTGACATCCAAACTGCTGAGCTCCTAGAGTTCATCTGAAATAGCAGACAGGTCTCCACTAGGTACTCAATCCACAAGGTTTGGATCCTACCTGTTTCTGCAGCAGAATTCTTGCTAAGCAGCATAGTGTGCTGGCACCACGTCCTTTTAATAGGTATCTTCCTGATAAATGCCCCAGAAAAGTGGTGATTTCTGGGTCCTCTAAGCATTTATACATGGATAGGGAAAAGATCAAACACTGAAGCATCAGGTTGCTGCTGCTGCCAGCGATGTTGGCTGTCTGTTTTACCTGAAATTCTTTAAAAGCAAAGTGAGAATATCTACTCTGCAGGCAGCACAGGAAGTGCTGTGAGGATGTAATGGAGCATAATCAGTGACACATTTGTCATCTCTATTCCATCCCGTAGAGCCATGGCATGAGGAGGAATTACTGCTGATTGTTTCAGCCAAGCACTGCCATAGAAGAGGTTGCTGTCTCTTCAACCTATTTCTATGTCATGTTATCCCATGCTTCAATAGTGGGAGAGGAGGGGAGAAACTTGGTTTTTTTCATCTGTCATTTGTCTCTTGGATCATTTTGGGGGCCTCACTTGGGTAGGAGGAGGACATAGAATAGTGCAGAAGCACTTATGGAGGTGTTACTATCTTCCCAGGGCCTATCTTGTATGATTTGATCACATCTCCAGAGGTAAACCAAACTCTAGACTTGGCACCAGAGCATCATTTTCCCACATCATATTCTCCTGTTGCTTCCAGTCTGCCTCCTGGATCAACTTGGGAAATTCAATCAATGCATCTTTTGGTTGTATAGGTGTGCTGGCAACTCTTTGCTCTGCAAAAGGTGGACTTTGTGATGACAAGGGACATGAAAAAGATGTTCTCTTCCTAGGACTACCTGCAGTGGCAGAATAGCAGAGTGGCAGAGCCAACCAAAATGATGTCCCTTCCCATCTCCCCCTTGCTGCTGGCCCTCACCAAAGCTTTGAGGAGGGGATTCATCCTACTGAGCTGCTAAGGCTCTCTCCAGCAGTCCATGGAGAGAATGCCTGAATGCCCACAGGATGAATGGCCTTATTTTAGAAGTTCTTGTTGATCTCTGTTGACCATGGAGAACAAAACAAGGCAGCCATAAGGCAATACAACCCCCTGCAGGCTGCTCAATGAGGGACCCTTTACAGATGCCAGGCTTGGTTTGGAGAAGGGCATTCCCAGGAGTATCACAGTTCCTGAGACCTTCCTAAAGCCCTGATTCCTCCAACTAAGTCATTACCTGACAAAACCAGACTTGGCAAGAAAACAGAAGATTTTTTGTCCTTCACTAGTGTTGGGAAAAGAAGTACAAAGAATTATAGCAAAACTAGGAGCAAAGAGAAAGGACCCAAAAAGTTTCTTTTTTTAATTCTATAGTTGGAGACTTTCTGGTTTTTTAGCCCAAAAAAAAAAAAAAATCATGCTGAGGTCTGATTCATGTTTTTTTAATGCCTCAGAAGTCTGCAGTGTCATTCTCCTAGTTTGACACCCTAATTCAAAGTGGAATACATAAAGCCATAAGGAGTGTGTCAAGGAGTTTCTCTAGCTTTCATCATCTTTTTTTTCCTGTGAGCAGATGCCGTCCTTTTACAACTGAGTAGCAACGTGTAAAAAAGAATAGAGGGAAGGGTTTGAGAATAAAATGTTGGAAATGAAAAAGTACGTGAGGATGCGGCGCAAGCTCCCGCGGCTCTGCAGACACCCACGGGTGCCAGGGGAACTCAGGGGCTGTGCACCCCTGCCCAAGGTGAGCTGGGAGCGTGGGGTGAAGGTGGGTGCTGGTGCTGGGGGGAATTGGGAGAGGGTTCTGTTTTAGAGTTGTCGCTCCCAAAGATGAAATGCTCTAAGGATGAAGGAAGGAAGGGGATGGAGAGGGATGGGGAGGTGAGGACCTCTTCCAAGAGAGGTGGAGACCTCTGTGACATCCTCTGGCCAGGTTAAGTGAAAGATGGCTTTGCTGTGATTGCTTTGAGATTGCTTTGCAGCTGAGAACTGGGGTTATTTATTCTGGAGGAGGGGAAGTTGAAAGGAGACTCCATCACTCTCTGTAACTACCCAAAAGGAGGCTGCAGTGAGGAGGGTTTTGGTCTCTTCTCAGGTGATAAGTGATAGGATGTGAAGAAATGGCCTCAAGTTGCAACAGAGAGAGGTTTATATTGAACATTAAGAAAAAGTTCTTCACAGAGAGTATGATCAAGCATCGGAATGGGCTGCCCAGGGAGGGAGTGGAGTCCCCATCCCTGGATTTATTTAAGAGATGTGTGCATGTGGACATGGTTTTGTTGTGAAATTCTGTAGGTCAGGATGATGCTTGGACTCGATGCTGAAAATCTTTTCCAATCTAGATGATTCTATGATCCTGTGCACAAAGTCATTTCAAATTCAAGTGGGGTGCTGAGAGCTGTCAGGAATAGGTTTGGAAGATGTCCTCCCTGATCCCTAATGGTGGTCAGGAGGAGTGCAGGTTTCTGCTCCAGTCTGCCTCTGGACAAGTTCTCCCACCCATTCTGCAGCCTCATAAATAAGGGGGTTAAAAACTCTGCTCTACTCCATCTCCAGACATCTCTACAATATTTTATGTTGTGCATGCTTTAGAAGTACAGGACATTGGTTCTTTTGGAGTCATCAAGCCTTTACAAGCTGAAATTAATGTGTCATGTAGCAAGAAATATTGCAAATGTTGCTAAACATGCTGTCGTACTGGTGGTGTCCAGATAGTGTCCTGTCATTGCCTGGAGGTGATTTCTGTGAGCCCTGTGCAAAGTGAGCTAGGGGAAGAAGCAGGGAGGGCAATGAGAACAGCATACTGTGTGCCGTGTTCACTGGTTGAGACCAGGGCATGTAGATCATGGGTGGGTGATATAACCACTCTGCAAACATCAGGGTGCTGTGTGGATGCTAGTGCCATGGAGAGGAGGACAACTGTTAACACCACTGAAACAGGGCATATTTAGATTAGGTAGGAGGGAGAAATTCTTTACTCAGAGGGTAGTTAGGTGTGGTGATGGCATGCCCCATCCCTGGAGGTGCTCAAGGCCAGGTTGGGCAAGGCCCTGGACAGCCTGAGCTGGTGGGTGGCAAGCAACCCACAGCAAGTGATGGGAGTTGGATGAGCTTTAAGGTCCCTTCCAACCCAACCACGATAATTCACTGGGGCCCCAGCCCTCATGTGGTGCCAGGCTTTGAAGAAACCCTAACAGCAGAAATATGGGCATGCATCACAAGGGGACTGTAAATATCGTTTGTAATTAACTGGCTATTCTACAGAGGAGACTTTGTGCAGCGCTGCAAAACATGGAACAAAGTTCAGCCTGTCCCTGTTACAAAACTCCAAATTTCCCTTTCCCCAATGCAATGCCAGCAAACAGATGTGCTCTGTGCCTCCTATTTATGCGCTCCAAAGAAATTAACACCCCGTTAAGCTGCACAATGCAGCACATTTATTTTTATTTCACTGTACTGCTGCTTTTCAATGTTAACTCTGTCCTATTTCATACTGGAATCAAATCCAAGCTAACACCAAGGACTGATTAAGTCAGTGGTCTAAAAGGCAATGAATTTTATGCAGCAGAAATAGAGCCTATATCTTAAGATAAAGCAGTCCCCAAGCTGCAAAGTCCAGCATTTGATCCAGGTTCATGAGAGAAAGGACAGAGGGAGAAGATTTAACTGCCAAGTACCTGAAGCTGCGGCTGTGATTTGTCTGCAGACCCATTTTAAGGCAATAAACAGCTATATTTATATCTCTTGAATGTGCCTATTATTTCAAGATCTCACCCAAATGAGTGCGAGTGACATGACAAAGCAGCACTGTAGGGAGCCAAAAATGTATAAAAAGCAATTGATCCATTATAGATGCAGTCTCGGGTGAGCTCAGTCTATTTTTAATCACTTTAATAATGCAGCTGATTTGCTGCATCAAGGAGAGAAGTTGAAGGGGGATCCCAGCAAGCTGAATAATGATCTCATGTGACTCAGTGGCATCTGGACATCTCTGGTCACATGCATAGCACAGCAATCTCCTAAGAAATTGGCAACAGTGTGGGAGCCTTACCCAGCAGGTCACCTTCAGAAATGGAAGGGCCCAAAGACAAATGGGTGATGCTTTAGTGAAGTGAGAAGAGATTCTAGAATCGTAAAGTGGCTTGAGTCAGAAAGAACCTCAAAGATCATCCAGTTCTAATCCTCTGCCATGGGCATGGTTTCTAACCACTAGATCAAGTGCTAGATTAGGTTTTCCAGTCTGGCCTTAAACATCTCCAGAGATGGGGCATCCATAAATGCCAAAATCCATTGGGACATCAAATGGTGAGGCTGAGAAAAGTAGAATTAGAAAAGGGGGCATTTTCTTGGTGTTTTTACATGAACTGTGTTGCATAAATTGCTGTCCTGGAGACAGATTTGAATACATATGGGAGTCTTGATTTCTCCACATTCTCCTTGGCCGCAACCCTATTTCTCTGGCTTAAACAGCCCAGACCCATATGAGCACCACTAGCTCAGCTCATCTGTGTAGAAGATGAAAGGATGCCACTGTCACCCATCTTCATTGCCTTGCTTGTCCCTTGGGAAAGTCAGAGAGAAAAGTTGAGGTTTCCCCTCCCCTTCCAAAAGCGGCCTTCAAATGAGAGTGGGTGTGAGACGGACAGGAGACAGATGCCTTCCAGCCATAGGATGGCTTTCAGGGCACTCAGATCATGAAAACAAAACAATGTCTTTGCTGCAGAAAGTGGTGTGGGCCCTCTAGGGAAAGCAGGACCACCCAGCGAGGAGAGAGCAATGCAAAGGGGACAGTAAAAACAGAGAGCAGCAGCCGTGCCCACGAAGGAGATGGGATGCTGGTTGAATACAGCAACAATAAAACAGAAATTATAGCTGTGATTTTTAAACATGAAAGCCGAGCACTGCACGGCACCTGGGACTCTTCAGAGGCAGTGTGATCCCAGACTCCATTTCACTGACAGTAAGCTTGCTTCATAAAACATATACATCCATGCTCAGGGCTGTAAAAGGGCTGGAGTGAGTCCTGGTGCTAAACCTGCCAGGGCAGCTCGACTCCAGTCATCTTTTTCTTTCTTTGTAATACCTCAAGGCTGCTGGTGTTTCCCATCTGGGGACTTTCTTATCAAAACGTTTATCTTGTTGTCGTGTGGAAGAGGCATTTTTCCTGTGTTATGGAGTTATGTCAGTCCCACTGCGGGCAGGAGGTCAGGAATGGGACTCCCACGTGCATTCTTCATCTGATGGTGTTGGCCAGCCCTGGCCTGGCAAAGCCATGCACTGCAAAAAATAACTTCTCCATCCGATTAAGAGTGAGAGGATGGACAGAATCAATACAGCTACAAGTCAAGGTACATTCCCCTCCATGGAGTTCCATCCCTTTAGGAAAAAGAGAAGACTTATAAATAAAGGGAAATAAAGGTGCTTAAATCTCTCTTCAGAAATAATTTATTTTTAAAATACCACACGTGCAACAAGAGAGACAGGCAGCTCTTGGTCACAATCGTAAGTTGCTTAAGCTATTGATCAACAACCAGTGTCTCATCACTTCTACCACTTGAGCATGCATAAACCTTCCATGCAAGCTCATCAGTAGTATTTAAATATCTGGCATCATCGTGGAGCCTGTGACACTGCTATATTCTTGGATTCAAAGGTCTTCATGAAGAACTTTTCAGAGAAGAGTTTCAGTTGCAAGACTTTACACTTGCTCATGTTAAACCTCACTCACCCTCATTCCATAGATCTCCTTCACTTATCCCTCAAGTATCTTTGCTTTCTCAGACTGAAGTTCATCTTGCTTACTTGGTAATTTCTTTATATGGACCTCTTTAAAAAAAAAAAAAAAACAAAAACTTTGAATTATAATTATTGCCTTTCCTTGAGTTCTATCAACACTTTTATTTCTGGAGAAAAGGTATCAGTAGATACTCTTCAAGATATGAGTGAGCCCTGGTTTTATTCGGTGGCATGATAAAATTCCCTCTTCTGCTTGCCCCTTGGTAACTGTTAATATTTCATTTGCATATTCCACCACTACTGAGCAATGAACTGACATTTCCTAGAACTACTATAATCTCAATATCTTTCTCCTGAGTGAGCCCAGAACCCGTAATTTTATATGTGAAGTTCAGTACATTTTTCCTGCCGTGAACATTACTTCAAGTTTGGCTACATTAAATTTAATTTGCTGCTTTATTGCTCATTCACTTACACTCATCATGCCTTGCTGCAGGCCTTTGTCCTTGAATATCATCATATCACCTGAAAACTGTGCTTCCTCGTTGCTCAGATAAAGAAGCATGTATTCAATCTCAGATGCCTGCAGAAACTCAAAAGGACATGTCCCAGTTGCCTTAATTGCACAGATTTGAGGTTCACAGGAATCCTCTTCTGGAGATATTGAGTCATAAATCAAAGAATCATTAAAGTCAGAAAAGACCACTAAGATCATCTAGTCCAACCATCATATCACCTAGTCCAACCATCATAGTCAGAGCTAGATTCCTTCTTTACATGAATTTGTTGCATTTCACCCTGGCCATGGCTTTGAGACTGGACCAGAAGCTGATCTTTAGCCTTTGACACAGCATTAGCTTAATATATCCGTTGCAAAAATTATCACCCAGATCTTCAGCTGACATCCTGGAAGGATGAGGTTGACTTACAGCTCCCTGAACCATGATGAAGGCAGATGGCAGCACTCTTGGCCAGCTGGAAGATACTATGATTCACCATCAGTGACAGTCAGAGGATTACTGCAGTCCACCTGGAGGAATCAGGTGGATGCATTCCTATGCCCAGGGTTTTGTGTGGGAGGAAAGCTGAAGCTGGAAGGAGGGTTTCAGAAGTTTGATGTTTCCCTGTCTTCCAAGCTTACCAAGAGGACAAGACCTCCATCTTCACCATCCCCCAAAAAAATAGACTGATGCTTTGTTGCAGTAGATCTATTATTTGCTCTGAACAGAAGAGAACATAGGGGAAAAAAGAAAGTGTAGAAGTCCAAAAGGACTTTTTCAAACCCTCACCTTGATTATTTACAGCAGAGTTCAAAAAGTTCCTTACTTTTCAGTTAGAAACATGGCTTGTCTGCCTGCAGCTGACTTTCCATTGCATACCATTCCCATGGGCTGGGAAAGACTATGCCCCAAAGTGGTTTTCACCCACATTTATCATACACATTCATAATCCACATTTACAATTGTGTCCTTGCTAAATCAGTGGAGGTGATCCTGGGTCCCTTCTCTGGTGGGTTAAATGACCAAGGCACACTTCTTGCCATGTGTAAAAGTAATCTGTCTGTTCTCCTCAGACTCCTCAGCTCCATTCTTTGCAAGCTGGGCCAGTCCAAGCACAACATCCTGGGACTAGTTAGGCTCAGATCTGCTCTTAACCCTTTCTTGTCTGTTTTTGGCTTTACCCACTAAACTTTCTCCACTGGTGTCAGCACCCCTGTCTGCAAGCCAACCCTTCTGCAATCTTTCTTCCTACCATTACCAACCACACCGTTCCTGAAATTGTCCTAGGAAAACAATTCTGGGATCCAGTGTGTCCATGCATAACATTTCATCTTTGAAAAAATTCTGAAAGACTTTTGAAAAATCTCATTTTAGCAAAAATATTCCCAAAGTCTTCACTTTTCAGCTCTTTTCTGGTATCTTATTCCCAAAAGGCAGAACAAAACTAGGAAGGAAGTGAGGGGAAAAATGTGGGTGTAGAAGAACATCCTGTTCTGCAGAAATACTCTGGTGTGTTGTCAGATGGATACTCTGCTTTAAATAGAAGAGGTCTCATTCTTGCAAAGGCCAACATAATAAATTCTCAGACATTAGCAAAGATGGAAATAATGATTTATCTAATAAACTGTTTGGGTTTACTGCATTAAAGAGTTGACCAAGTTACAGCTTCTCACTGTTACATGCAATCTCATTTTTGTGTGCCTATTATACACATGCACACATGCACAGAGGGTTTAGGAATAATCCCTGGAGAGCTCAGCTAAATTCAGTTTATTGTATTTTGGTGGCTGTTTCCATAAGAGAGGTCATTTGGGGTAAGCCAGGTTAAACTGAGAATTGGAAGAGAGTCAACAGGATAGATTCAGATGTCCCTGATCTTTGTTGTGAGTGAAAACATTCTGTTTAGACCCAGTTCTGTGGTTCTCATTTGTGCTATCCATGACAACGAGGAGTCATGCTCTCTTTTTTTCGTCTTCTACACATTTTCTAAAGTTTAGAATGTTTGCCTCATTGTGTTTCATTCTGAATCTGAAACATTTAGTCACAACATACCATGCAGTCTAGGACTTGGGAAATTCCACAGAACTTACTTGCAGAAAACAAATTTTTCAATCAACAGCATTTTCTCCACATTTCTGACCATCTCTACAGACAGCTAATACTCATCAACAAAAGAATTGCTGTGCTGAATCTTCAGAGTGCAAGAGCTTAAGAGCTGGTATATCTCAGAGAGAATCATCTCTCTGATATTTACTTGTATGATAATGGAAATCACAGGCCACTTAAATCTTCATCTGGGTGAGAATCTGCAAGCCCTTCTACCTCCTTGTCACCACCAGTCCTGCCTTTAGGTCCAACCATTTCTAGACTGGCAATCAGGGAAGCCATAATAATGCGTCCTCCAAAGCCATTTTCTTGTGCCTGACACTATCTTCTCCATTGCTTTTGAAATATTGAAATTCATCTTTGTGAAGGGAAAAATGAGCCTGTGTTGATATCAAAGAATCTGTCATGTGCTCACAGTGTTCTGACCCTGGAAGACGTCTCCTGTTTATCTCTGTGACCAATGCAACACAGATACAGGGATAGTCAAGGGAACAAGTGACGTGATCATCCTGAGTTATTGCCCAGAGAGATCCCACAGAAAAAGATATTTAATCTCATACTTCAGCAGTAAACACACAGCCTTTGTGCGATCAATGATGGGTGTGTAAAGGGAAGAAGTGATCACTCACTTCCAGAACAGTGCAGTTCCAGTACAGTTCTTGTTGTGATCAGACTGGTTAGACAGTGGTGTCAGTTAGGGGCAGAAAAATGCATAATTCAGTCCTCGTGGACCTCTGTTAACTCATATTCACACAGCTTGAGCACTGCTTGTTGTGGAGCAGAGATGGGGGAACTGCTAAATTATAGCCAAGAGTTCTTGTACCCAGCAGGTTCTCGTGTAAGCTGTAGAAGCTTCCTGAGATATCTGAATTTCCACGAGTAAGAGGAGATGAAAGTTTACGAGCAGTCAGGTCTTCTTCTGCAAATACTTTCCAGAGAGCAGAGCACTGTGAAACTCTGTCTTCAGGAAAACCTACGTGGTCCCTTGCATGCTGGCTTACCCATCATCATACTACAGCCCTGGAGATTTTCAAGAAAAGAGTAGATGTCACCTTGAGTAACGTGGTCTAGAGCCACAGCAGGCATGGGCTGATGGTTAGACTAGATGACCTTATTGGTCTTTCCAACTTTAATGATTCTGTGACTCTCTGAATACAGTTCCCTGAGTTTGTACCACCTCCAGTGTAACACCCTCCCAACATATTTTGTGCTCATTAAAATACCCCTCTGCTCCGACTGGTGAACACAGACACTTTGTCAAATCTTTGATGAAAGGGTGGCATGTGCATGATGAACTGTCTTGCTCTGCAGCAGGCACGTGTCCTGTGCTGGGTTTATTTCTGGAGCAACCAACTTATTATCTGATGCAGGGCAGTGTGCAGATGAGAGCTGGTCCATCCGGAAAATGAATTACGTGCTCTTCCTTGCTATTGGAACTATCCATCATATCATGTCCCAAAAGGTCTGTCATGTTGTTGTCTAGTAAAACTCTGCCATCAAAGGCAGCTACTGTTCAGATGCTGATGCTAGATGTTTGAAAATGTTATTTCAGCTATAACTCTAAGGACATTTAGTTAGAATTTATGACTTGAGGTCTCTCTAAGCTCCATCAACTCCATCCATCTAACACCTTTATAAATAATACTGATCTTCAGTTTCTGAAACCTGTAGGGCAGCCTTCTGTGGATTGTTTGGATTTCTTTCCTGGTGTCTGGAATACATCACATGCACAATTTCACTCTGAAATTTCATACTACAAGTACTTATTAAACAAATATAAAAGACTTTGGCAGAGTAATGCAGATACCATGGAAAGCAGTTTGGTGAAACTGGCCCAGTCTAGGATCCTAGGAGACTTCAGTACCATTTCTTACCATACCACGTCTTCCAGTATTTGTCCTTTTTTTTTGCCTCAGTTTCCAATCTGTTTGGTTACAAGCCATCATTAATGAAAATCCTTGCACTATTCCCACTGCATTTCGCTTCGATGGGATCCAGATCCATCCAAACGTTACTGCTACATGAAGTACAATGAGAGCTGCAGCCAAGAAATGCTCAGCAAACAGCAATGTCACCTTTCCTCCATTGACTTAAGTAGGAGCAGATGTGTGCAGGAAGACCAAATACTTAAGATCGTGCTTTAAACTTTCCATAAATATATAAGAGGAAGAGTCTTGCCCTGAGGAGAGCTTGGCTACCTCTATGGGGATGCTGCAGAGCTGAGGGGCTGAGCAGTATGAGGACATCTCAGAGGGGTGCCAGGGAGTTCGCAGGGTCCAACTCTGTAGGATTATGTGAGGTTTTTCCCCTTTGTACACAACCCCATCAGTCACTCAGCACTTACTGTAGCTGATGCCTTGGGGAATGGATAAGGGAATCTATTAATACCCTTAAGAAAAAATTAGCATCCAAACAACTTTTGTTTCCTTGTTTTTTACACGTCTGTGCTCTCCCCTGTCACTTGCTACAGAGCAGAGCCTGATATGCCCTGACAAAGAGCTATTGATGGTGCGCTTGTGTGAATTGGCCCAGTGCTGGTCACAGCCAACTTCTGCAGGACCTGCTGCCCCTGCTCTACAATACACTCCAGTGTGCTGAGCCATTTGTGAAAGGTCAGAAATGAACAGAGAAATGGACTGGAGTCAAAAACAAGTAGTCCTATAAATATCAGTCATCGTCAAAAGCGGTTTATTCCATTCCTCCCCTCTCTCTCCCTCTGTGTGTCTCTCCCTCCCTCTGTTGTGGTTTCCCAGATATAACTCCATGTTTCTGACTGTGAAGCTCTGAAAGGGAAGCAGCACACACACTGCAGCTTCTGCTTCCATTTTGCACACATGGAATAATCCTCAGTCCCGCAAGCAGGACTGACAGCCAGCACCGAGTCCAGACATCATCTGCACTCAGATGCTGTATTTTGATTGCTCGGGTTTTCTTTATCTGTGCAAAACTCATTTGCTACAGCTTAAGAATTAGCTTTGGCCGCACACAGCTTGGACTGGGACTCCTGAGGGCTCTTCTCTGACTTCACAATGACTTTAGCAGCTAAATTAGAGGATATTGAAGTGACGCTGGAGCACCTACTAATGGATGTGTTCGTAAGTAAGCTACAATTTCCTATTTAAAGCAGGATGCTAGCAATCCAGAAGGCAGTATACAAAGTTAATGGTGTGTGCTAGGGTTGCATTGGCTTAATTCCTTCACATCTCCTGCTTAGCAGTGGATGCAGCGCTAGCAGCCTTGTGGCACAGCAAAGCCTCCACTGCAAATGGCAACATGTAAACTGGAACAGCATGACTTCAGGGCAGGATATACTTTGCACTGGTTTTGTATATCACCTACAGTGTTGGTGAAGCACGTGCAAAGGGGGAGAGTTTGGGTCAGAACAGTTTGCAAGCAAAAGGAGTGCACTGACAAAAGTGTTAAGCTGTGTAATTGCTTAGCATCAAGTGTCTTTGGCTTGGGGATTTTGATAGCTGTGAGGTTATGGTCTTTTAGTAGTCTGAGTTTGGGGTTAGTTAGAGATGAAGGAACAAGCATAAGCGTTTTGAAAACATAAAGTTGTTCCTCCTGGCTATGTCACACACTTTAAAGTACTGCTAATCTAGAATTGCTTCTTTGAAATCCTTGAAGTTCCTTAAAATTTTTTAAACATTTCAAAAGAGACTACTGATTTTTCAAACACATCCTTCTGCTCTTTGCCATAGCTGGAGACAGCTGTGTTTTGGTAGTTTTGGGGGTTTCGTGGGAGAAAGACAATGATGAGGGGCACGTCAGGAAATCTGTCTCTTTCAAAAAAGGTCATGCCAAGGTAATTTATACATTTAGTGAATTCGATCTATTATAAAATAAGATGGCGAGTGACATTCTGAATTTTTGGAAGAGCTCCTTCAGTCATCCTTTAAATGAAATGCTTCAGATTTCAAGGTCTACTCATGAGGAATCTCAGGCATCGACCACAAAAGCAAAGAGCAGGAGGGCTTGCCAGCTTTGCAGCCTGTGGTGCTGGTACTGAGGTGCCCATCTGTGCTGGGGGAGAAATGGATCCAAGCTGTTCAACACAGTCCTTTGCAGGGTGCCCTATTGCCTTCCTACAGGTTGCTGAGATGGGGGTAGAGGAAACACCTGGGGATTGTCGTGTCGAAGCCTTTTTGTTGGGGATGAAATACTAAAATGCTCTCAGGGCAGTAAGATATGAATATATATCTAAAGCCTATTACCTTTGTGCATTCAACTGCTCTCCCCAGCTATGGGTACCATGCACCCTAGAGAAAAACGTGGTTAAAAGCCCTGTTTACAGAAAAACTAGGGTGTAAAGCCCTGTGGCAAGCAAAGGTGCAGTGTCTGCATCTCATGACTGTGAAAGTTGCTGCGTGGGGGAAGTGGACGGGGCTTTCTCTGCGCTATTGCAGTTGCTTGCAGAATAGGCTTGGCACCATGAGGCCTCTTGTGCTATTTGTAGCTTGGCATCATTTTGTCAAGCTGGGTGCTTGAATCTGAGGAGTCTGAAAGCCCCCTCCTCCTTGGGGCAGGTGCCACTGAACAGTGGGTGATTAAAGGGATTTTATCACTCCAAGCAGTATCTGAGAGACTGCCAGGATTTAGGAACCCAGGGATGTCTGAGTTGTCTGAGGCCACTGTGAGCCAAAGCTGCATTCCTACATTCATATGGTTGTGTTTGAAGGGCAGGAAAAGCCTCCTGCTCTTCTGGGAGCCACCAAAGAAGTCATAGGGAATCATTCCTTCTCTGTTTTTTTTTATGTCCCATCATGCACACTGTTTTGAAATTATGTCTAGTCTTTGTCCATTCTTTTGTCCATGTCTTATTTCCATGCAAGAGTCTTTCTTCTGGTGGGGATTTTTAGTTTAGTTTTGTTTTTTCTTGTAATGTACAATAGGCAAAATAAAATATGAGCTAAATCATAAAATCAGAGAATGATTTGAAGGGGACTTTTAAAGATCATCTAGTCCAACTTCCCTCAGTGAACAAGGATGCCTACAGTTAGATCAGGTGCTCAGAGCCCAGACCAGCCTGGCCTTGAGCTCATGGATGGGGCATCCATCACCTCTGGGCAACCTGTGCCAGTGCTTCAGTACTCTTATGGTAAAAAACTTTTTCCTTATATCCAATCTCAGTCTCCCATCTTTTAGTTTGAAACCATATCCCTTTGTCCTACCCTGCTGAAGAGTCTGTCCCCTTCGTTGCAGTAGCCCCCCCTTTAGATGCTGAACGGCCAAAATTCTTCACAGCTGCATTTCATGGCCTCAGTCCATAAAATGAATGCCTGTTTTCTCAGATAGTTTTGAGCTAGTCTCTCAAATGTGTAATTCCAGAAACCCAATGACACTTCCCCAGCTGGGACACTGCAGTCACAGATAAAACTGCTATGAAGGGACATGTGTGCGCCATGCATCGTGCAGTGCCATGCTGTGTCAGACCCCCAGCTGGCTCTGGAAGAGCTGGGAGTCTGTACAGCATTGTGCAGGGACACAGAGCCACAGTGTGGGCTCTGTGCTTCCTCATCCTTCTTCTTCCTCTGTAAGGACTGATGCCTTAACATTCAGCAGTGATAGCCTATCTGGGCTCACTATCAGGACTGTGAATCTAATCTAGCCTACAGCAAATCAAGGAAATAACTATTCCCTGATGAGCAATCAAGTTTTCCACTAGCTAGATTCTTCTAAAATCTATCTACTACCTAAGAACTAAAGCAGAAAGAATTCTGGATAAGTGAGAACTAATATCCCAAATGGGGGATCATTCTGTCAGGCATGATTTTCAGGCTTTACTCATACATTGCCTCGCCTTGTGGCAATGTTTGATCTTAAACCACCTGCCCATTGAATGATGCTAAAAATAATATCTACAGCTCAGAATGAAGGAAGGGCAAAATATAAAGTTCTGTCTGTTATAGATCATTGCCAGGTTTGTTGGAGGTTGTTAACCCATTACCAAGCATTTTGCCATTACCAGTAAGACTGATATTTGGGTTAGGAGAATGGGGCCAGACCAACAGGGCTGAATAGGCTACAGACAGGTAGGCTGCCAGGTGACAGGACCCTCCTGGGAATGGTCTCAAAGGTTGTTCCAGCCAATGCATCTTCATCTGTGTCAGGTTTATTGCTGAATGAGCAATCTATCACCGTAATGTTCCTCTTTCCAAGTCTCTGATGCCTTCCATTGCTCCACACCAAGTAATTACTTATAAAAGTGGGAATCTGTGGTCTGTGGAGCCTTGTCTTGTATTTTTTTTCCCTTTGAAGAAACCTATTTTTAATGGATGTTGGACTGCAGGACCAGTAATCTACTCCCAGTGGAGCAGTGGACACCTGCTTTAACATCTTGTACCAAACCAGCAAGCCCACTGTATCAGAGTGAAGAGAGAAAGGCTACAGTAGACAACAAATAAGAAATAACCATTTGTTTCTAGAGAAAAAATCCTTCCTCAGCTTAAGCTAACCTACCTTGATATCATTTGTCTTCAGCAGGAATATCGACTGAAGACTGTAGAGTTTGGCCAATTTTTCACTTGACAAGGATTTTAGTTAATTGATCCTGCAAGAACTCATTGGGAGTGAATTCAGCCCTATGTGTGTGTGTGAGTTTGTGTAAAGATTTGCATCCCCCTGGCATGAGCTGCCACATCCTTCCAGGATATCCTGTACTCACCACATTGTCAGCTTGCTATCAGAAATGCTTCCTTTCCTCCATTATCAAAAAGTGTTGGAGAGCTTTTCTGGTCTTTATGAGACAAGATAAAAGGGAAGCCTCTGACATGACATTTCTTAATTAGCTGTCATCACCAGCGGGCTGCCACCAAGCTGCTGAGTGAGGTGGGACTTTGCTGTCTCTGCAAACCCAGGCAGGGAGATGGGGCCAAAGCAGGGAGGCCATGTGGGGACAGACACAGCAGAACCTTTGGGTATGCAATGAACAGGGACACTACAGCTAGATCAGCATCCACCACATCTGTAGGTAACCTGTCCCAGTGCCTCAACACCCTTATTGTAAAAAACTTCTTCCTTATCTTCAATCCAAATCTCCCCTGGTTTGGAACTCCTTTATCCTATCACAACAGATCCTGCTAGAGAATTTGTCCCCTTCTTTCTTACAGCCACCTCCCCTGCCTCTCCCCTCCCCTCCCCCCAGTAAATACACATATGTACAAATATATATATATATACATGTGCTTAAATATTCAGGAGCCTATTTGATAAAAGTGACATTCATGAGGACTTCCTTACATGTGGTTGGGCTGTGCTTACTTTGCTTTGGGTGAATGTTGCAATCAAGGCTGAAAGAAAACAACAGATTAGTGATGCCCCAGCCTCCTTCATCACCCTGAGAAACAGCTGCTCTTCTCCCCTCTGCCAAGTCCTGGCAGAGTTAGCAGCAAAATAACAAGGACGTGAAACTTAATTTCTGTTTGTAATATCATAACTTAGTCAGAGAACGTCAGCGGAAAATACCTGGGATGCTGCACGTACTTTGGCTCATTCTTCTGCCAGCTAGTTATGAACAGGAAATAAGGTCTGACTCAAACTCTTGTGTCCAGACCAATCTAAAGATGAGTCTTTGAAGGAGTAGGCATCAAACTCCAACCTTTGAGACTTCAAAATGAGGGTCAGCTCCCTTGACCAGATGGTGGCACAAGGAGACAGGGCTCCATGAACACCTTGGCACTCCCAGGCAGACCAGGCCACCTTGTTCTGCCCATGTATTGCAGCCCCTGAAACTGAACTGTCAACGGAGGAACATTTAAGTAACCTGATTTTCATTAACAATAGAGAAGTGGCAACAAAAGCAGCTGTTCCTCATCATTTTGCAGACAGGGAAACAGACAAAAAAAGGTAATGAAGAAAATTGAGCAGCACCATCCCAGATAAAAAAAGAGTAGAAATCTAACTTCTGTAATTCCAACGTGGTAATTTATTCCATTCTGACTACAGTACTTCAACACAGAAGCAATAATCCAGACTATGAATGTTTAGGATGCAGATCTTCAGTGCCAAGGGTGAGGTGTACCTTTGCATCTACTTCTGGCATGCTCTAGCATAGATAGGTGTTATTCTTGGTCCATTCTTGCAGTAATCACAACATTAACCTCGTTATTTTCTCACACCATCAATACTGATAAACAACAGCCATTCTCATGGTCAATACAGGCAATGTGTGGAAAAGAAGGATAATTTGCAGGATATAAAAAAGATGATTGGGTGCAATAAGTGGTTGTGATGAATTTGTTTCAACCACCAAGTGCACTCTGCACACTGCATTTTTCATCCTTGCTGTAATCAAATAAACATGCTTGAAGTTACTACCGAGTCCTGGTGTCTGGGCTACATTCATTTTAATAACCAAGACAATAATAAGACATTATCAACATGTAAAGTGATCCATTAACCTCTATAGCAGTAATAAATTGTGCGACTTTGCTAGGCTGCTAGAACTTGCTAATCAAGGAGCAAGAAGGAAGTCTGTACTTGGAGCAGTCACAAATCATGAATAAAGAAAACCTGAGTA